GAGGGCACAGCGATGAGAGTCGCATCAATGCGCAAATCAACGGGCAAGGAAGGGGTCCCATTTCTCGGGTTCTGGGCCGTTTCACATGGTTCATCCTTGCTCCACTGACCACCTCTGCCCTCATTTCCATTAAGCTACCTTTTCATCGTGAAATCCGCCTTGAAAGCATTTCTCATCACTCACATTGGTGCAGTCATACCTAGCCTTGCAAATAATTATACGCCGAATAGAGAAACTCCTTGTGCAACAGGGTGTTTCTAAAAACCGCCTCGTGCTCTCCAGAATGAGTTCACATGTCAATTCAAATCGAAAATTTGCCAGTAAATTCAACCAGCGAAACTAGGCGCTGTTTTCTGGACTACTACGAATTCTGCGGCAGTGATACATGAACCTTTTGGGAATATTTTTCTCTCGAAGTGGTTTTATTGGTGCTGCGCACTTGGATACGGTCCCACGGTTGCGAATAAAGGGTTATTGTATGCCAAAAAAGGATAGCAACAATATAAGGAACCAGATACAGCAAAAATGCTCCCAGTAGCCTTTGAAACTCTAGCGCGGAGCCCAGATGGTTGCTTGAAAGATCACTGATGAAGGTGTTCTGAATGGAAGCGAGGTTAGTGCCCAGTGCGAGTTAATAGTGGCCATATTCGCGAAGCCCGGCTAGTAAAATGGTGCTGAAGTTGCCGTATTCGACAGAAAACGCCCATTTACCGGAATCCCATTTGTTTTCAGGGGAGGGGGGTAGAGATATTACAAGCACTCCTCGATTGAACAGCTGAGCCGTGAGCAACGACCGATTCAGAGAAAACCGCCTCATGTTCTGCTCCGCGCTCATTATGTATGGTGGATCTAATTCTAGCCTAAGATCGCATTACTTCCGTCATTACTGCATCGTTCTCACGATGAAAAGTGAATCGGCACTAATTCGCACCCTTGCCTGTACGGGGACAACATTTTTCGCACGGGGAGGGGTACGAGTAATTAACCCATTGAGTAATCGTCCCTATTTTTTGCTTTTTTAGGGTTTGTTCTGAACTATACTAACGTCCTCTACGCTCTGCTCAACTGTAGACAGCCTTCGTAACCTTCATAAGCACCCCTGAACCAGCTCCTGGGGTTCGTGTTCGAATCAGTGAGATGCCTACAGTAACTGGTCCTGTTTGCACGGCTGCGCAGCGCTTTTCAGGACTTTGTGACTCGTGGCTCTAATGCGCATATTCAAAAGTTGTGTTCTATCAGTAGGAAGAACCATGTTAACTCACTGTTTTCCAATCAGCTTAACACACAGATTCGAAGGGATCTTGTGGAGTCTTTAAGAGTAATTAATAGTAATTATAACCTAATATTTGTAGTCACTACAAATTTTTTGTGCTTTACGAGCTGTTCGGCCTGTAACCTTACTGTAAGCATCCCCATTTTCGACTGAATCGCTCCCTCAAGAGGCGTTCGTTCGCCCCCCTTCGAGCGAAAAGGTCCGCTGCCATACAAAGCGCTGGTACGTTAAAACTTTAAAGTTTAGAACCCGATGGCCTCTGAAAACGACGATTCCGTCGAAACGTTAGGTCCATTAATAAAAGGTTCTACCGAACAACCTCGTAAGGCACAAGAAAATTTGTTAAACTTACAACTGACATGCCGAGGTTACAAGAAGAGAGAAGTTGGAGTAATTTTATCAGAAGTCTTACTTAGAAACAAAACCTTAAAAGTCAGTTGTTGTGGATTAGCTTCTTGCATGTGTGATGTGACTTCTTCTGTTATTTTGATGCTTCTGTGACCAATAAAAAAATAAATGGAAATTCATGTGTAAAAATTCAGACAACGGAGGACACCTGAGTCGTAGTCAGATCCAGTTTGTGACTGTGTTCTCTCCTTAGGGCGCAAGCTTCTTTGCAGGTGATGCTGTGATTCTGCAAAGGTGAGGAAGCTGGAGGGTCTACCAACCGCTAACTTAAGTGTGAAGCTGGCAAGCTCTGCAGTGTACAGGTTTCATGATGTCACGATTGTGATAACACTCCAACTGCTGTACAAACATTCGCTGAGTACACTCTCAGCCATTCCACATTGTGTTGCTGTGGCAGCTGGAGAGGAGGGCAGGGGAGGGAGAGAAACCGACCACTAACAGAGCTGTGGTCGGCGTCACAGTTGAGATACCATTCCAACAGGATGTTGTGATTGCAGACACTCCAAATGTTAAAAATTAGATCGGAAAGAAAGCTCTGCAACCTTTTCCCCCACTATTCTAATTTTATTTTTTTGTTTACAACTTCTGACCATTTGGGTATCCAATATAGTGTCCACCACTTGTCTCCAATGCTAAAAAATTTCTCGATGCTCCTCCTCCAAATCCTGGTGGAGAGCGGGTCGAGAAAGGAGGCGACCTCACTTTCAAGTTGGAGTTGATCGTCTGATTGTTTCGTCATAAAGATGATGATTGAATGTTTGTAACCATTTAGATCTTGACCTGGAAAAAAATGAGAAATCTAGTCCCAGCTCCAGAATTTTATGAGCTCTTTTCGGAATATAGCGACTCGCATTGTCATCAAGGAAATGAGCTGTCGTGGTACGAACGCTTTCGGCGAGCTGCCTCGGTCAACCTCTAAAGTTTGCAGCGCAGACCTCTACCCCGACAATGGTGCCCATATCGAAGAATCTGGAGCAGAGTTTCCGTGACAGATTCACTTTAGTGGAGAATACAAGAGCAGCAAGCCTCTGAAAGGGATAACGAGGGATCGAAAGTTCTGTCACGGGTAATACACGCTGTAGTGGAGAACGACATTCCCGATAATGCTGTTGGAGATGGTATTGGTCGTTGTCATGAATTCATAAGGAATTTATGGAGATATTTGTACTATACATTGACTCGGAGTGCAGATTGACTAGTGCTCGAGTTTTTTTTGACTTTCTTGGACAACTACTGATTGCAGCGCCCATATCCACCCAGCACATGGGAAGACTAGAAGCTCCACCATTTGATGTTCACAAATGCTACCTAACTAACCTGCTACCTAACCTGACTTCTTCAGAAGAAAGGAAGCCTTAGAGATGAAAGTTGCAAAATTTTCTTTCCAACCTAACATATAAACCGACTGCGCAGACTTTTGAATTTCTTTATGGTGTTGTCGTAAGTGAGGCAATCAAGGGAAAGCAGGAAGAGGAGAGAGAGCGAGTCTAACCGCAAAAAAAAACCCAAGCTTCGAATCAGTATTGAGGTCTCATCCAAAAGTAATGTCGAGCGATAAGACCCTCTAGCGATACAAGACGCACATTCGGCTGTCGGCCCGTAAAGATTCCCTCTAAGAAAGTGTTAAGCGCACACAACTGTGCAAAGGCGCTAAAGCGGCACGTAACGCTTCGTTCGTAGGCGCTTCGCAGCAGAATAATCGTATTCTTGGAAGCATTAAGGAGGCTTTAAGCTTTGAGATGGCCCTCAGACACACGAGACTAGTCAGCTTCGAACGCTAATGAAATCTCCTAAGTAGACATGCTCGCGCTTGGTTTTTTTTCTGGGCCGCGATTTAGTAAGTATCTCTGCACTGGACTGAGTCACGACTAGTAAAGGTCATGTCGGATAGTAGCTCGAGATAACGTGTCAGAGCCTTCTCAGCATACAGGTGTCTACGATACTGATATAGGGTAACATGGATACTTTCGGAGTAGGAGCTGTGATGGAGACTCGAACGTTTGATCAAGGGATGAAGAACACAGAGAAAAGAAGTTGCGAGAATGAAGGAGTCGTGAAGCCTGGAATTTTCTGGAGAATTTTTGCTGGTGGGTCAAGTGGAACTCGATCTCGACGAAGACAACGAGGAAGTGTGAATCGTCACTGTCACATTCCTCGTTGTCTTTCTTTGTTTCTGATAGATCCGGTGAGCAAAGTCAAAGCCATTGACTAGCAGTTAAACTATAGCGCACGTACGTGGTAGAGGTGCACACGACAGTAGCATAATTAGTCTTATTGTTAGTGATCTGACGGCCTGCAATATGTTACTCAACGCATCATTCCATCGCCGTCGGCGACACCACGCTCCCCCCCGGAATCTTCCACGAAAAAGCTCCGCCTCCATTACCACAGAAAAACGATACCCTTAGGCCCCTAGCCTCATGAGCATAGCAAAAAGAACGGAACATAAGCGTTAGTTTCGATAATACTAATCCTACACACAAGACAAAATGATCACTCTTTCCGTGGAAGATTCCTTTAAGGTATCGTTTTCTGTGGTAATGAGGGCGGAGCTTTTTCCGTGGAAGATTCCTTTAATACGTAAAACTTCGCGATTCTATGCTACGCGTCGCTATTACTGGCGCAGATGTGTTACCCCACTGTGGTAACCGCGAATCACTGAAGGTTCCATGGCGAAACACAGACCCAAACGTACTGCAAGCAAAGTAGCTGACTGGCTGACCAGTGTCAGGCCGTAATTTTCATGGTAAAAATTAATTTTTCTGGTTTTCGAACTCCGGACAGCCTTGTTCAACGCCTGTTTACTACATACATTAATGACGTATTACACTAGAACAAATGACTGCGGCAAACACACAACGATTACTTTCAGGAGACTGGTAAACTCTGCTCCTCGGCGGCAGGAAACACGACTTACCGACATCTGTGAGCCAATGTTTTGCTGAGAGCGACTGACATGAAGCCTTGTAGAAATTCTAGCAAAATCCAGTCGGGAAGCAAACGAAAGAGGCCCGACGAAATTAATCTTCACGTCCTCCACGCCGAAGTAATTTTTGGATTAACGGCGCAAAAACGCTCAAATCACCCGTCATCGTAAGCTTCGTTCTTCCAGAAGACGAGCGTTCTCGAAAGCGCGACCCCGCCACCAGTTTGTCCGTACCCAGCATTCTTGTAAAATAATATGACTCTGAGCATAAGCCCACAAACGAACGATAGATTTCAACTGATGGACTAGTCAATCTTCTTGCTAGCGCACTGTCAAGTCTTTACCTTACCGCCGGATTCCCCGGAAATGCCGCGGACTTGATATCTGCGCGCAATGCGCGGCTATGGTGAGCGCTCTGTCACGAGTGTAAAGGTAAACGGTGCCTGCGCCACCGTCGCCGCTGAGGAGGTGCTCGACAGTCTCCTTATCGTTCTCTCCACCGTCAACACACAGCAAATCCACATCATTTCATCATGGTAAGCTTCAGATCATAATGTTGGACTTCACTAAGGGAATGGGTCTAACGAAACCCTTGGAGAGCTTTCTTGTATCCTGGCTTACGGTTGCAACTTGCATCTCCCCAGTTTTACGCAAGTGCGACAGGCCCCTAAGAGTTCTACCCAATGTTGTAACGTTCCTGTTGCTGAGATCGCCCGCGTGGTAGAGAGTGGCGGAACCCAAATCACAAATATTTTTGCTAAAAAAATCTGGGAAAGTGAAATGTAAATACTGATATTTTGTTCTGTTCTTAAAGCCATTCCTCATAACAATATCTTATCTTCTAATTGACCTTTTTGAAAGCCTAATAGAAAAGATGCTTTTCATTGGGTCGTTCACGGCCGCCTCATCTTGTCATACGCATTTTTCACAGAAAGAAAAAAGCCAGAAAGATGACTAATGCCAAACATTACACCCTTTTCCAACGCGCCCATGTACTCCACTACGCCATTCAGCATTGATGGGGACGTTGGACTGATTTAAACATGGCGAACTAGATGCCTTCGCTTGCAGTCGTCGCTCGCATTAAAGGACGAATTCACGCTGAAAAAGCAACCCATTTCAAATTAACCTAGGGATGGTGAGTGGTACACGAAAGAAGGAAGAACCATGAGAAACGGCCCAGAACCCGAGAAATGGGACCCCTTCCTTGCCCGTTGATTTGAGCATTGATGCGACTCTCATCGCTGTGCCCTCTTCAACACTACGCTCTCTCACCTATCTAATCACTCGCCACGTATAGACCTGCGGCGAGTGATCAGATGATCGGTGGGCGTGCACTGGCCACCGCGCCAAGATTGAGCCTTAATAGGTCGCCGAGGTCAACTCCTTCGGTGCCAATTGCGCTTCAGTCCGCACCCTTAGGAGGTCCGCGGGTCCCTCAACTAGGTGAATTACTCCTTCTTCGACCTTCATTCTAATCGTGAATTCGTCCTTTAAGCAATTCCAGAAGAAAATTCCTGTTGGTCTGAGTAAAGCTCGTCTTGGCTCTGATCTCCAGACCGTCGGCGGTAAGCGGCGCAACTTGCCCCTATACCACTTTAACCCGTTTGATTGCATAAATGCTTGTATAGACGGCATTTTTGTTGTCCCAGGCAAGCTTACTACATTGTGAAGAAGCCCGAAAGAAGTGGTATGCTAGGATGAGTTTAATTTGGAGAGGTTTCCACTGGTGATAAGCGGCCGATTAGGCTTACACTATCTCCACCCACCATCAAATCTTACTAAATTTTATTTTACTACTAATCATTTCAGGGAGACGCCGTCGCCGATGCTCTTGAACAGCTTACCGCTGATCAGATTGAACGTAAGTGCTGACTATCTATCTTTTATTTGTTTTTTATCCCCATACTATTGATTTCCACCCTGCCACTCATTCGCACACCTTATTGACATAACGCTTTCGTTCAAGAGTTCCGCAAGTACTTCAACATGTTCGATAAAGAAAATAAGGGATACATCAAAGCCACTCAGGTGAGACACAAGAGTTTTTTGCCCAACTCAACTATTGAGAATGGATATGATTGACAGGTCGGCCAAATTCTCCGAACCATGGGACAGGCATTCGAGGAACGTGATCTGAAACAGCTAATCAAGGAGTTCGACACTGACGGTAAGGCCATCATACAGGGGGGCAAAAAAAAAGACATTTTGCCTATGTCGGACTTCGGCTCTTTTTTCTTCGCAGAGATTGCTGTCGTTGACGGGAGTTCCTCAGCAGAGTATTCCCTAAGTGTTCCTCTATTAGTGTACGCAGGCTCTCCTTCACTGCCCTCACCGTCTTCAGAATATGACGTCATCTGTCACCGTCGTCAGGCTCAAGGAGGTCTACCGTAAGAGCTTCAGCCTGAAGCTCTTACGCAATTTCGTGAATCGATTTAATGTTGGATAGTTTTCTAGAGGCATTAGCTACCACTGTGCAAATCCCCTCGGAACTAGCTTTCCAGTAAGGGTCGTTATGGTACACGATCCTTCGAAGACCCCATTGAGATCGACCAGTGCACCATGTTTCCAGGGCTAATTCTTCTGATGCCGTCCACGTACGTGGCCACTATGAAGATTTTCTTATAGAATGGAATGCACTCTTTAATAATAAGTTGGAACCGTTCGGTCTGAGTTGAGTAAAATGTGCTTAAATCCATCTGGAAGTGGAGGCAAAATGTCTTTTTTTTGGCCCCCCCTGTATATTAGAGGGAGTCAGTGGATTCATAAGTAGTGATAGTACTGGGAAGTTTCAAGTTATTTTGGTGTTTCGGAAAAGCGAATGGGATACTACGTACTTCTCATTGGGGATCCGAGCAACCAGTTATTATACGAAGTTATACGAAATTGGGGCGTTTTCAGGTTCGGGTGAAATCGAGTTCGAGGAGTTCGCCGCTATGGTTGCTAACTTCGTAGTGAACAGTGAGGACAACGAGGGGTTGGAGGAAGAGTTGCGCGAGGCTTTCCGATTTACGAACAAAAGGTCCTGTCCACATATCCTTCGCTCGTTTGAAATATGCGACTGATCGCAGAATCTGGGATATATCGATCTGTATTGCGTCGGTCGCGTCATTTACTGATTACTCACACATCCAAGGAAATGTATGAAAACTCAAGTATGTACTGACACCACATCTCACAACTTTTTCGACAGTACTTCTCTTCTCTGCAGAGAAGTCGATGTAGTCGATTAAATGACGCGATTAACCGTGGGGAAACGAACAGGAGCCCTGTCGCGCGACAGAAGTGAAAGTCAACAGGAAAAACTGCAATGTGCTGTGATGGTGGTATGTGCTTAGGAGTCCTCTATTCATTTAACTAACGTGGATCACTACAGTAGGCGCAGCGACTCGTCCCGGAACTCTGCCTTCCTGGCCGCGTGACGGGCCTCTTGTCAGGTACCCATAAAAATAAAAAATCAAGAAATATCGCCATTGGTGGACGAGGAGTTTAATTCAACTTTCACTTGCACTTTATCGGAAGGAGTTTCGGTATAAGAAGCTGAGGATACTTTTTGTTCACTCTGATTCAGCCACGGTTTACAAAGAGTTTCATGGATAAATACACCGGTCAAAACCGAGCTTCAACACTCTTTAGGCTGAGTTTGCGGTGAAAAGGTAGTAAATTACTAGAAATCAAGGAAGGTGGTAATGGTACAGAGAGCGAAAGTATGAACGGCCCAGAGCCTGGAAAATGAGAACCCAAATCTTTGCCGGTTGATCCGCATGGATGCGACTCTCATCGGTGCCGTCCTCTTCAATGCTAATGCTTTTTTGTGGTGAACGGTCAGAGTCGGATAGCTAGACGATGGGTGTGCACCAGCGTGAGGGCGCGGGTAAGGCCCTGCTAGGCTGTTGTGGGCATACCCTTCACTGTACCGGGCGCATTGTCCTGCACGCTTAACGGATCCGCCTCCCTTTTGACAGGGCCTAGTTCCCCTTCTTTGACCCCATCCTTATCGCGAAATCCTCCGGAAGCCTATCTTTCCAGGAGTACCCTAGCAATAACAACCCATTAAAAGGAATCAGTGTTTTGAGTAAAACATTTCAGCCGAGTAATTAATGCTATATTCGAAATACATTGATTATTTCAACGGGGCGGAAGTGGTGTAGTGGCAAGTGGCACGCTTACCACGCGAGCGGTCCGGGGATCAAATCCTGGGTCGTGAGTCGCCCGGGCCAACCAAGCCTTCCATCCCTCCGGGGTCGGTTAATTGGTACCAGACTTGTCTGGGAGGATAAAAACACTGACTTGTACATCGGCTGGCCCCCGCAAGTCATTGTATAGGCCACATCGCATTCAAACGCCACTACGAATGTACAAATGGAAGTAGAATGCGTGCCGCATCCCAAAAGGGACAAACGGCAATCCTTTATCCTTTACTCTTCAACTGTCACAGACCAATCTCGGGATATAGCCTTCGTATTATAGATTTCAAAGCTTGATTGTTAGAGTATACATTGAAATACAGAGCTCATTAAGCTGATATGAGGCTCCATTCGATTAATATCTCCTTCATATTGTATAGGAAGAGAATCTAGGTTAAGTGGGAGACTCACATAATGTAAAAGTGGATGCTCAGTCAATTTCGACGGCAAGACTCGTGAAGTAGGGAAAGTGCATTTTTTCCTGTGAATAGCAGGGACTCTTCGAGAGCCACCAGAATCCGAAACCCTTTTTCGAGTTCTTCAAAAAATTTCATTTCGTAGTCTACATCTTCAGGGAAACGGCTATATCAACGTATCGGATTTGAGAGATATTCTACGCGCCCTCGACGAGAACGTCAGTGAGGAAGAATTGGACGAAATGATCGCCGAAATTGACACCGATGGAAGTGGAACAGTCGATTTTGATGGTAGGAATGACTTCTAAAAAATTAATGTTTCCAAGAAAAATAATCGGGTCTGGTTAAGTGAATTGTGGATGCGATGCCGGGAAAGAGCGGACGAAACCGTGCTAAGCTTGTGGAGGTTGACTTTTTTGGAACTCTGTGCATGTAAAAACTGTGAAGGTTCCAGCGAGGAACAAAGGCTAGTATTCAGAATACTGTGGGTGGAAGAAATAGAGGGAGCGAGACGCAGACATGCTTTGCATACTCAAAGAGGGGCCAGTTGCAACGTCTCGAACACTGACACACAGCCATACGTGCCTTGCACTTTATCTCTGAGCCGGAAATGAGTACAACTTGTCTGTGCCGTAAGGCAGATCCTCATATAGATCAGGCAACAGGTCGATTATGTCCAGGAACCAACCTATTAAAATGAACCTTCCGCTAGAACCCACAGAACAGTTTTCAGAAGGGCACTGTGTACTTAGAATCTGTTACAGAGAGGTGAAGCAGCCGTTCCAATGTTGAGCATTTCTTTTATAAACTTTCTACTAAGACGCTGAAGTGTTTTTTCACCAATTTTATCTACATATTATGAGTAAGACTGGAAAGGGGGTGGAGGCTTAACGGCGGAGTAACCAACATAGCAGGAACGAGCATTTTGCGAATTTTCTATTCTGCCTTTGAAATTCTATTGAATTCTGTCATTCTCATGCGAAATTTGTTTTATTTTGCTGTACAATTTTGTTTCAGAGTTCATGGAAATGATGTCTGGTGAATAAGCAATCAACTCAGAAGCTCATCGATCCTATCTTTGTAGCTTTGCTTGGTTGTAACGTTGTGCCAATAAATTTTACCTGCTGATTCTTTAATCTTCGTTCCACTCTCGTAACAATTCTATGGTAAAAAGATTATGCTAAGTGTTCTTTCCTCTTCAGGATGGAATCCTACCTCCAAATCACATCATATCACATTCAATATACATAATTATTGAACGATTATTCTTGCTCTGTAAGTCGTAGTGTGCACCGGATTTTCATTCGCTGAACACTGAACTATAGGCTGCTGCAAATAATCGGATAGTAAAACTCCTGAAGAACAGATTCATACATGATACGCCGTGTTGTGTTATTCGACCGGCTCTAATAATCCGTTTTGTGTTGTCCCAACAAGTGTTTTTTTTGAATGTAAGCTCTTCCGTAAACGCTGACGAACCAGAGATGTTTCTGATGGGTTTGTAATTTAGTGAAATGAATTTTGAAATAGGTTGTCTACTTATGCGATACCAGGGGCATAACAAAAAGGGTACCTTTCGCTATAATTCATTAGAATGACATAAAGGACCGGCATAATATGAGCGGAAGAAAGAAGCGTTTGCAATGCTTAAAAGCCACTTTGGGATCATTTTATTGGCGCTCTTCTTTGAGAGATCGCAGCTATTCCACATGGTCCATAATTGGGCATTACTTAGCCTTCGATGTAGGCGCGTTCATCTTGAACAATTCCAACAGTTGATCCCGCGTTGTGCCTATCTTAAATGCACCTACATCCATCATTAATGAGCAGGCAAGAGTAGAATGCGCGGCCCATCGATGCTAGACTATGTCATGGTATTGTTAGTGACTAGTCTTAAGCTATTGACCTCCCTTTCCTTCCACGCACGGACTTTGCTGGTATTAGTATGTTTGTAATGCTGCCGTCCTGATGGTCTAAATGCAAAAACACATTGAACTTCAGAGTGAGTGCGTTGAATAAGCCTTATCTTCATAGTTGCGATTAATGTTCGTGTTAGGCAGGTTTCGTTATGCTACTTGATGTGCTATTCGCGAGTCGATCTGTGAAGCGCCAAGCTGCGCGTCACTTCTTCGATCTGTTTTGCAATGTTTAATCTTCGGCCTTGCGGATGTGGGATTCCGCATTTGTGAATGCTTCGCCACTTTTCTCATTGCTCAATCCAATTGGTTCCCATCGTTGCATTTTGAACATATTGCATCATCGAGCAGACTTGAGATATATATTAGATATTGAGCCTGCTTGATCCTTTCCATTGGGAGTTGTATTAGTATACACCAAGACTAAAAGATTAGCAGAGCGGGGGTTGCGAGTATTTTCCCATTGATGGGATATCCTTTGTCTTAGAAATCAAAGGATCGACAGCATAGTGTAGTGCAGCCGCTAAAATTTCGTTTTCCTTAACCCATTCGTGACAATGTCAGCCACCGGTGGCTGCCAAAGATCTCACTCGGGCAATGGCATCCACCGTTGGCTGCCGTTTCAAATGGAATTTGGAAAGTTTTCTTCCTGAAAAGAATCTTCATACCCTCATTCATCTACGCCAGCCCTGGGCAGAGGAAATCTCCATCCACTCAAATTTTATTGAAGAAAAATCTCCTGACTCTCTGCTATTGCGCAATCCCGCGCGGTCGCGAATGGGTTAAGCACTTACTTTTTGACACGGATTTGCGGTCGAACAATTGGCAGTCAAGTATTGTGTAACACAAATAGGCACCAAAAGTTTCATTTCAAAGGAATTCCACAAAGATCACAAATATTCCAGAAAAAAAGCAAGTACAGAGAGAAGTCAAGAAGAATTTCCCCTCAATAATTCTGCGGTACTTCTGTGTAACCGGGTAACACTTCTTCAGGATTAGCCAAAGCTTGTTTAGTTACATTTAGTGATACAAATCCCCAAATAAATACAGACACCCACACAAATTTGCCTCAACCAATAACTGAGCTACCCTTACGGGAGCCGCGCTGATAGAATAGAATTGGATGACTACCCCTCACCGTCTGATAAGTAGCGGAAGGTGAGGGGCAAGGTGACGGTCGTTGCATGTGATACGAAAAATTACGTCAGCATGAACAAGTATTTGATTTGTTAGCTGTATAACGTCACGTAGTTCGCCCTTACTGCATATCTGCATATTTCGGAACAGCTTTTTTATTTCCGAGGCTTCCAAAATTTCGTTCCCATCGGGCTCTCTATGAAGCGGTCCATAGTGGCCAGTATGAGTGGGTCTCCATGAGCGTGTTTTTTGGTGTTTTGCTTTGAAAAGTTGATATTGGTTAAAAAGCTGAGGGTTACAAAGGTTTTCCGCTCAAACGCCTGTAAAGGAACCTTTCTGTTCCCCCAGCATACTTTTGTCCACATCCTTGAATCTATTAGACAAACGGTACCTCAGTGGCCATATATTACTGCATAATCAGCTAGATATGTGTGTCATGCTTATGTGTTTCCCTGTAGGTGCATCGAAGGCGAAGACAAGTAATTCAAAATAAATGCATTACTCGCTTTTAATATGATCATTTGATATTCCTGCGGCTGAAAATCTTCTCGGCGGTGAGCAATGCTCTGCCATGCTTCCCGATTTCTGGTGACTTGCATGCAGTGTAGGCCAAGTTGCGTGAAACACTTTGAAAACGGGACGGCCCACCGGGTTTGAGGTCGTCTTAGCGAGGAGGCAGAGGCAGTTCTTGTGTCGTGGTATGGCAGAGTTTCCAAAGTTCCGATTTCGGTAACCTCTTGATTGCTTGCGAGATTAGTTGGTCTCTCACCGAGAGCAGCTCCCACTATGCCATAAGGAACCATTTTTGGTATGCGCCGGATTGGGGCAATGGGGTATATAATAGCTGCTTGAGCAAACTGTTTAGCTTGGTTATTTCCCTGTTCCTTGCTAATTGTAATTATACAAAAGAGCCGCTCGTAAATATACATGATGCGTAATGCGCAGCCAATCGCATCGTTGGCCCCGCGTAGTGGTGTGAGGCCTAGTAACTGCAGGGTGATAGGTTTTTTTCGCACGAGGAACTCGCATCATCTGTCGTTGTAGTGGCCATTATTTGAATTCATGGATTGTTCCTTCCCATAAATTCTTCGGAGTCATTCTGTCAAGAAGAGACGACGCGGAAATCACTATTGGAAAGGGAACGTAGTTATGGTAATGTGGAATCGCTCGAATGACTGCTGGCCACCTTTCTTTAGGATACGTATCATTCATATATCC